GTCTCCCAAGTTCAAACAATCCTCCTGCCTCAGCCTCCCTAGTAGCTGGGATTACAGGCGCCCACCACTGCGCCAGCTAATTTTTGTATTTTTAGTAGAGATGGGGTTTCACATGTTGGCCAGGCTGGTCTTGAACTCCTGACCTCAAATGACCCACCCGCCTTGGCCTCCCAAAGTGCTGGAATTACAGGCATGAGCCACTGCGCCTGGCCAAAGTAGCGGTTTTTTAACGTGTTGGTTTTAAATCCTACATATTCAAAAGAAGGTTTATATTCAAACCCTTCTTTAGAACATATATACCAAACGGTGGTCCACACAGAGATGGCAGTTGTGTAGGATGGACAGAGAAAGAATCTGCATCTTCCTCTGGAAAGGGTCCAAGGGGCAGGAGTAGAAGCCAGCTACCTATTTATTTATTCCACACTTTTACTGAGCACCTACTATGTGCCAGGCACTGGTGCTAGGTACTAGCGACACAGATGTGAACAAAACAGATAGCAATCCCTTTGGGGGCAGACCTTCTGGAGGGGAAACAATAAACTAGACAAACCAAGCAGCACAGTCATGTCGGGTGGTGTTAAGAACTGCATAGACCAGAAGGGCTCAGGAGTGGGCAAGTTAAGGGGTACAGGAGTCCTGAGTAGGGTGATGAGATACAGGGCTGAGCCAGGGTCCCCAAGCCTTCCTTTCTGCCCTAGACAGGCCCCAGGCTTTCTGGGAATCTGGCTTTCTGTTCTCATGGCCCCCTGAGCTGGTGAGGCACAGAGTGAGACAGCATTTTGACGTCAGGCAGACCAGAGGGTCAGATCCCAGACCCACGGCTCATTTGCTGTGTAAGCTTGAGCAAGTTACCCAATCTCTCTGATCTTCACTTTCCTCAGCTGCCCTATTAAGGGATCGTAATAGGGTCGTTGTGAGAGGTATATACGTTGAGTCAAGTGCCCAGCCGAAAGAAAGCCTCAGTACACAGCAGATTGCACAACAGGTGCCTTCTCTCTGAGAATCCCGAATTCAACGGCAGTGGAGGTCTCTGGCTCCATCCTCATGCCCTGACTTGCAGAGGGTGGAAAAAGGGGCCTATCCTCGGGGTTACCCGCGGCTTTGCCTGATCTCATGGAAACCCTGGCACACATTTGTCAAATCCCATCCTCCTGATTACGTGACCAAGGAAAGCTGCTTAAATCTGGGGGCAAGTTTGGGCATGCAGGCCTGCTCCGCCCCAGCGGGGAGGATTCCAGGGAGCTGGTTTCTCCTGGCTCCCTCCCTTCTGGATCAATTCATTCCACCAGGCATCAATGGAGTGGCACCTGTTTGCAGGGCCCAGAGGAGACATAAAAGTGTGGAACCTCAGAGAACTCACAGTCCAGGAGGGAAGGCAGATGGCTCTTCCTGCCTCCAGGCCTTTGCCTAGGCTGTTCCCTCTGCCTGGAATGCCCTTCCCTTCGCTGGCTGGTTCCCACTTACTCCTCAGGCCTCATCTTAAAGGGTACTTCCTCTGAAAAGCCCT